TGGGGCAGCTCTGCAGGTGGGGTCACACCTGAGGGGGCACAGGGACACAAAAGGCACCCAAGGGTGACACCCAGAGTCACCTCTGCCAACCCCAAAGGCCCAGGGGTGCTCTGTGTGCTGATGGCCAATTCCAGAGTGGGACTGTTTGGAGCTGGGGGAGGAATTGGGCTCCAGGAGCATCATTTGTGTCTCAGCATCCCCAGGTCCCTCCACTGCCACAGAGATCCAGGAGCTGCTCTGGGAATTCCATCCCAGCCCCTCCCAGGGAACAATTCCTCATTCCCAATATCCCATCTAACCAACTCTTTTAAACCATTCCCTGTTTCCTGTCACTCTCTGCCTGCATGAAAAGTCCCTCTCCTTCCTTTTTAGAACCTCTGGAAGTGGCTCTGAGCTCTCCCTGGAGCCTCCTCCTCTCCAGCCTGAACACCCCCAGCTCTCCCAGCTTTTCCAATGATTATTTTTTGCTGCCTTTGCTTTCGAGTGGGCTTCAACATCCTCAAATTTGACTTCTCACCAAGATTTCCAAATCACAGCCATAGCCACGACCACTTCATGGCTAAATTCCACTTAGGGAATTTTTTTCCCTAAATTCCTTTGCTGGAGCTGTGGATTGGATCTGTGGTGAGCCCTGTCAAACCAGGCCTGCCACGGACTGAAGGGATTTAGAAGGATATCTAAATTTCCTTGGATTGGGATGGGAATCCACACAAAAACTGCTGGCTTTGAGTGTTTTAGCTTCAGTAATCGATATTTGGGAGCATTCCCCCACATCCATGACTCAGTCATTTGAGCTGAAGGAATTCCAAACAGGCTGAGATGATTTTTTTTTTTTTCCTCCTGATTCACCAGAGATCTGTGGAAGCAACGGGAAAAAAAAATCGATCCTGCTGTCTTCCAGAGAGTCAGAAAAACCTGCTGAGGTCCAAAACCAACCCAAACAACAATTTTTGCTTCATTTCCTCTATGGTTTGGATGGTTCTCAGACAGCCTGCATTCCAATAATCAGATTAAGGCATAGAAACAAATTTTTTTTCCTTGGCAGAGTGGTCAGACCTTGGGCTGAGCTGCCCAGGGAAGTGATGGGGTCACTGTCACTGGAATTGTCCCAGATCAGTCTGGATGTGACCCCTGGGGACAGGGTTTGGGGTGATGCTGGTGTTGATCAATGGATGATCCTTGAAAGGTTCTCCCAACCTTTTTGGGGTTCTGTGACTCTCTGGGGTGTGTGGAGGTGACAATAGGTGACAATGACACTGTCACAGGGCCACCTTTGCTCTGCACAAAAATTGTGTTCCTGCACATCCCACATGGAAATTTGCACTTCAGATCGTGATAAATTCCCATCTGTGGGAATTCCACATTTTCCTTTTTTTGGTTTTTGTTTTTTTTTTCCCCTCCCCCATTGGATTCCTGTCTGTGCCTACCCAGACAAAACTTCTCAAATTGTCACAGCTCACGAAGAGAGCCAAGCTACTTAAAAACCTGGCTCTTCCTCCTCTGCTTTCGTTATGGATTTTTAAAACCTCTTTTCAACTGAGCATTTTTATTCCCCACTTCTGAATAAATGCTTATTTTCAGAATTTTTTTTTTTTTTTTTTCTGAAAAGAAATCCTTCTGCACTGTCAGGGAGAAGGGCAGGATGACCTAAGCCATCGTTTTCTTCTCCAGCTTCTCTGATTCTATGATTCATAAAGCAATTTCTGTTTTTATGAGCAAAGTCCATGGGGAAAATCATTAGCAGAAACCAGATCAAGAGTAGAGCTCCTGATGAAAATACTTTTGGTTAGGAAACTTGGTAGAAATAATCTGAGTCCTAAATTAAATATTTCCCTTAGGCCATTTGACCTGCTGTGTACATCTGCTGAAAAATTAGGTTTTTTTTTTCTTCTCTTGGCTGCTTTTTTCTGCTTTTTCCTCATTGAATTGTTTTAACTTACATAGCTCTGAAAAATTCACTCATGGCCCAGGTGCCTGTAAGTGATGTGAAAGGAAAAGGCCACGTGGATTTAGCCTCGGTCTAAAGTTAAGATGGGCATTAAATGTGATTATTCCCTGTTGGATATGCAGTTTTTCCTAAATAATTTTGGGGAAAAAAAAAAAAAAGCCCAGAGTGGGATGGTGAGAGATGGGGAGAGAGGGAATA